CAGCAGCAATTCCTCCAGTTCTTGGGGTTGTGATATACAAATGCAATGTAACCTTTCTCCCAACACACAGCTTAATTCATTGTTTAACCTGTACTACAGAAAAGTCATAAAAATATAAGGCGTGAATATTCGGAGACTGGCACGCTTTCAATGCTTATGATGAGCGTCATTTTGTGTCAAACGCCCCTGACTGTCTAATTGTAATATAAAAAGAGAGACAGCAGGCCAGACTGTTCTGACTGATGATGTATATGTTATTTTGAAGTACCACTCCCCCACTCCATTGGCATTTAAAAACCAATAACGAAAAGAAAAAAAAAGAAGAGAAATGCCTTGACTTCTCTGCCTATAAAATGTTGTGAGCGTGAATTAATTACCACGAACAGCAATGTAAACAATCAGAAAAGAACTATATCTAAACCAAATTGTGCCATTTCATTTTTCGAGATACATAATATTACAAAGATAATATACTATCCCTCTAATTCTCAGTAGAAACAGACAAAGCGGGATTGATGCTAAACGTATCATTTCTTTTTCTTATAATTCGTACAAAAGATCGTTTTCATCAACATGATCTTTTTTCAGATTACTTACTTTCTAGCGAGCCCCGGTCGGCAGAGTTGGCAGAGATCATACCGAGCAACATTCAAAGGCGTGGGGCAAGAAGTCAATTTCGAAGAACAAACAACGGTGCAGCTAGAGGAGAAGGCCGTGTCCGTCTTTATACAAACGGACAAAGCAATCTACAAATTTGGCCAAAGGGGTGAGTATCGCAAAAGCTGAACATAGAGTGTCGAACAATATACATTACATAATTCCTTGTACTTGTTATAACTGTACTGCAACGAATCAGGATATGAATAATACCTTTCTTTTAATCAGGGGTCCTTTTTCGGTTACAGTGTACTAGAGAAAATAAAACCCAAGAGCCCTTTCAAGCGTGCGTTACTTTACTCTCTCTAAATTTTTACATACCCACAAACCGAACAATATTACATAGAGTAGATTATTGGATAAGAAATATGCTAGACCCTTTTCAGCACAAGTTCCATCATTTGTGATGCATACTGCCTTTACTTTGCCAGTCAGGGAAGATCCAGGTTTTGTGGAATAATAACAACCCATTAAAGAAAAAGTTTTACTTGCATTCAGCGTGGGGTCTTCAAGGCTCGTTATCCATTTGGCTTAGCCATATTGGACAAAGACAAGCTAACGGTATTGCGTAACTTATTCCTCCTGTTCGTACGTATACTTTCTTTCAAAGTATCTACTTCTTCTGGCATCAGAAACTACGCCCGTCACTCTTTATGGAGAACCCCTTGCAGAAATTAGTAAATTCAAGTACCTTGGCAGCATTACATCCAAAACTGCAGACTGCCTAAACGACGTCTTCACAAAAAGACTTCAAAATGCATGGATCGCTTTTGTGAAATTAAATACTATATGGAAGTCAAATATCATTTCCTTGAAGACGAAATTAAAAATATATAATAACAATATTTTGGCTGTATTGGGGTGTGATTCCGTGACAAGGAAAAGAAACAAAACAATTCAACTAAAATTAAAAATAATGAAGTGTTGTAAAGAACTGATATTAAAGATAGCGACACAATCATAAAAATGAGATGATGGAGATAGCTAGGATATGTTCAAAGAATGCCGAAGACAAGATTTCCCTACCAGGCATGGTAATGGAAACCAACTGGAAAAAGAAAACGAGGAAAACAAACTCGAAACTATTGAGGAACAATATGGGACGAGGCAATCACCTTGGACGTGGCCAGGGGCAGCCAAGCATAGCGTCGACTGCTCTCCGCCTTATGTACCTCTGACGGTATAAGGAGAGAGTAAGTAATGAATACATTTAATTAAAACTCATTGTGTCATTGCTTCTTCATCAGTCCAATTCAGAGTGCTCGTTACGACCATGGATCTGAAGCCTGTGACAAAGGAGCCTGTAGACATCATTATTGAGGTAATCAAACTTGCTTTTTTTCCTGAGAGCATAGTTGTTGTTTTTTTTTTGCGACAGTTTTCGAAGCATTTCAAGCAATTTCAACCTGTGTTGTGCGTGTTGGGGAGGGGTGATATTTGTGTGCTCGTCTGTGTATGTGCGCGTGTGTCTGTTTTCTTGTCCGTGAAATTTGTTTGTGTCAATGATAGATGGATAGATAGATGCATACAGGGTATCCCCAAAAATGCACACACATCATAAAATCAAACACTGTTCACTACTATATTTAATGTGTATACATTTTTGGGACACCCTGTTAATATCTATCTATCTATCTATCTATCTATCTATCTATCTATCTATCTATCTATCTATACATTTCAATGTGAATTTTTACTGAAAAACATTGATTAAAGGCACAAAATATGTCGTTTCTTTCAGTTTTCGAAGACTCTTTAGCTATTGGAGTTATCAAACTTGGGCGGCAATTTTCTCGCAAATTTCAAAACTGAAACCAGCCGACCTCACTTCCTTCAATTGTAGATATCTTGGATTCTATTTAAGATAAACGGATATTTATTTCATAGGAGGCAAGGCAAATAAACCAGCTTTCAGATTATCTAATACTAATAACTTTACATGCTCAAAAATTGAGGAGCGCCTGATCCCACCGCGTCGTGACACAATATATACATCTTTATATATACATAGGTGGGATGACTCAGTGCGTGTTTGTGTGTATGTGTGTGTGTGTGTGTGTGTGTGTGTGTGTGTGTGTGTGTGTGTGTGTGTGTGTGTGTGTGTTTTTGTGTGTGTGTGTGTGTGTGTGTGTGTGTGCTTATGAGTGTGTGTGTGTGTGTGTGTATGTGTTTGTGTGTGTGTGTGAATGCATGTGTGTATAGATTTGTATTTGTCACCCTTGTAGGACCCAAAGCGAAACCGGATCTGGCAGCGACTTGGAGTGACTGACCTCAATGGTTACGGTGTTCTAGACGACCTGGCCCTACAGCTCGCCGACCGAGCTCTCAAAGGAATGTGGACTATCAAGGTCTCAGTTTTGGTAAGTCTTCTAGTTTTCTCAAGCAATTAAGACGTTGACTAAGCCTGACTAACCGGTGTCAATGGTATAGCGGTTAGGCACTTAGCTGTTGCACGCAGAAGACCAGAATTCCAGTCCAGTGTGGGGACAGTTTATGTTGAATAACTCGGTCTTTTTGCTGAGACATATTTCTCTCAGCCCGGGTTGAATTTGATATGCAGGGTCGAAGTCAGCCTCCCAAATGATCTAAATGACGTCGATGCGGGCGTAAACCCAACTATAATGTTGAAAGTTTAGCCGAGATATTAGTTGCCATACTTTCTCCTGCGCCGTATGAAGTCTTTTCAGGATTCCAGGGGTTGAGCTTTTGCAAGCTACGTTCGTACACACATTATGATGATGGGTTGGTACCACATGTTGACATATGCCTGTTTCTCATGTTTTAGAATTAAATATTTCCCAGATGATGTACAGGGAGTCATCGGAAAATTACTTGAAACGGTTTATTTTACTTTTTAAAAAGATCGTCGCCTAGCCAGAGAAAACGATGTCCATTTGTGTTTTTTTTTCTCAAAAGGAAAAGCAACGTCCGATTTTGTGTATAAACTTTTGATCTGAACAAACTACGAGAGTTGGCTCGGTTGTTGATGACCCTTGTTCGACTCACTAGTGGTTCACTCTTCGGCTCTAGCTGCTTTGAGGAGTTCTCATGGCTCGTCAACTACTTGACGCTGAACGGGCTTGAAATATGAAAGTTCAGCCTTTTGAATACACCCTCCAAACAACTGCCCACCCCAGTTGTTGAAAGGGGATTTTTACTCGTACAATCATCCGGCAAAATATTTCCTTGCAAGCATGGTCTTCAATTCAGAATGTTTTATTTAAAGATTGTCGTAGAATCTACAGTTGTGGGAACAGTTATAAGTTGTTGATCCCAGTGAAGGGTCACTAGTAATAAGTACAAATAAAACTCACCCTTTTCAACAATGTAAGTTTATTTAAGAAACCTCCGAAATAAAAGTCCATCTCCGGTAGGGTCGAGCTAAATGGGTGAAAAGCCTTATAAACTCCCCAAAACAACTCAAGTTCAGAACACCCTTTTCGTGATTCGAACAAAGGCCATCCGGTCTGCAGTTCAGCATGGTGCCAACTTTTTATACATACTAGATCTAGTATTTTAAAAAGGACAGGGATAATACATGTATCTCTTTTGAAAGCAAGTCTGTCCTTTGTTCTTATTATGACACTATGCTTACTGAACGCATGTTGTAAGACCCTTTAGTGCAAAAGCAGTGTTCAAGTGCAATAATTTAATCTTTTGCTACACATTATGCCACTAAAGAGTGTCACAAATTGGTTAGCAGTGATTTAGGCCATATATGCCACCGTGTGCAAAATATTTGTGAGAAGAGGGAAGTGCTGTGAGCACTCTCACTTTCCAGGTGACGGAGATTTGTGGTATTTTAAATAAATTCATGACGAAATGTTTTTCAATGTAGCCTCAACTTTTGTGGGAAAATATCATTTAGCTAAGACAAATTGCTACAAGCTGCTGTGCAGGCAGAGTACTGAACAATTTACTGAACATTGATTCACCCGTTCAAAAAATATTTGTTTATGTGAAACGATCTCACCTTCACGTTATGCTGGGGGGCTAAAGTTGAAAGATGATCTATAATAATTGTGACAGACAACTCTATCATGAATCATGAGTTTTGGTTTTCTTTTCTTTAGTTGCTTTGTGTAACGTCTTGCCACATGGCACATGGGTCTTTGTAACAGCAGCATACTGACACTTGAATTGTAATGGGTCAACACTTTAAACAAATTAATTTGAGTGAATATGCAAAAAGGAACAATATCTACACAACAGGTTAGAGTATTTACATGTTACAGATTACATGCCTTCACAACAATTGATACTCACACCTCTCAGTCATTTTCACGTAGAACATTGCAACACCAGTCTAATGATACACGCTGGCAAAGATGTAAAATACAGACATAACATAATATGATCGTGAAAATGACATAAGCCAACGCTGAAGTGTTTGTACAAAGGGGAACAATTCAATAACTAATGTCCTGCTAAGGGAATGAATTACCAGCAGGTCTAATTATTCCCCTTACATAATAGTTTTGTTTCTTTTAGTAAGTGCTCACTGCATTTGCCACACAATAATGTCATATAAGTGCCGAGGATTAGAGTTATTACTAGAGAGTAACAAACACAAAAAATAAGGAGGGGTAGGGGGAATAAGGACGACAGATGTTTGATTGGAAAGGGGCAGCAAACCACATCAGAGCACCCGCTAATTACCCATAACTCTATGAGGTTCTTCTGAGTTGAAAAAAAATGTAGTTGAAACTGTCTAAGACATCCATTCATTATATAGGAGAAAATGGCCGCTTTAGACAGGTGGCCGCCTTACACTGAACTTATGATTTTAAAATTACGCGAGAGAGGAAATGCAAAGAGGCTGTTTGTACCAGGGGATTGTCTTATACAGGTGGCCATTAGAGCTGGCTGACTGTACTTGCATCAAAACGATATTATAATTTTGCGAAACTAGGTTTACATAGAAGACAGCAGAGAGAGAAAGAGGGCGGTGTGGTGAAAGGGGGGGGGGATAAATTGAGAGAAAGGAATAAAGGGGGCAGATTAAAGAGATGGCAAAGATGTATTAGAGAGAGGGGGGAAGAGAGGGAGGTGATGGGATAGGGATTGTGTGAGGGAGGGAGAGAGAGAGAGAGAGAGAGAGAGAGAGAGAGAGAGAGAGAGAGAGAGAGAGAGAGAGAGAGAGTAATAAAATACTGAAGGCCTGCAGAAAATTGCTGTTGTATTTTTTCGAACTGTACTTACTTACACAATATTTGTTGTTCTTCCGATTCTTAGGGTACAGAACAGACAAAAGAATTTGAGGTGGACGATTATGGTAAGTCCTTTATTGTCAAAGAAGGGTTTGTTGTTGTTTTTCTGGTTGTTTTTCTGGTTGTTTTTGTTGTTGTTGTTGTTGTTGTTGCTGTTGTTGTTGTTGTTGTTGTTGTTGTTGTTGTTGTTGTTGTTCTTTTTTTGTTTTAGTTCTTGTTTTTTTTATTTATTCTTTTTTGTTGTTGTTGGGTTTGTTTGTTTGTTTTGTTTTTTTCTGTTGGTTTGTTTATCGGGGGGTGTAGGGAGAAATAAGTACTGAAGCTTCCATGTTGTAGAGTCTTAAGTCTTAGGTATATATTGTGCAAAATTTGAATGATTTGGATGTCTTTATGCCATAGTTTACTACGTTTGGGCACAAGAACAAAGCTCAGTAGAGAGAGAGGGATAAACATTATTCTTTCTACTACTGCTGCTGCTGATGCTGCTGCTATTACTGCTACTACTACAACTACTGCTGCTGCTGATGGACACTTCTGTGTCTCTCCCTCATCATCATCAAGATCAGAAGCAACAGCAGCAACAGCAGCAGCAGCAGCAACAGCAGCAACAGCAGCAACAGCAGCAACAGCAGCAACAGTAACGACAATCTCCAGCAAAAGGGTCCAACAAGTAGCATCTGCATTATCTTTATCCTTGCTCTTTTTCGAAAACTTACAAATTTGTGGTATCGTTGAGAAGCCAGGCACTCATTAAAATAATGAAAGCAAAAACCGACAAGTTTCCGTCCGTTGAGCAATTTCCATCAATTTTCCCTCTTGGCTAAACGCCTTTTATGTGCATTTCTGCTGGGATTTGAATTGAAACACTTTTACTTTTATCAAAGCCGCAAAAGTGTAAATTTGCATATACCAAGGACGCTCCAGCTTTGGGAGTCACTAAACTTTTTAGCGCCATTTTCTCTCTAAGTTTACCTGTGGCAGCAGGCGACCTCACCTCCGTAAATCACTAATCTATCAAGTTTTACTCAAGATAGATGAATATATTGTCATCAAAATCGGGACAAACAAATAAGGATTAAGGAGATACCAATAAATCCATATGTCCAAAAGTTGACGAGCGCCTGATTCACCACGTCATGACACTTAATTATGGTCGTTGCTGTTTCGTCCCAATACAGTGTTGCCGAAGATTGAAGTGGAGATCCAGGCCCCTAAATTCGGCGTCGATTACCACTCTATCCTGGAGATCACAGTCAAGGCCACGTAAGTCTGCTGTCCGGCTGTGTGTATGTGTCTGTCTGTCTGTCTGTCTGTCTGTCTGTCTGTCTGTCTGTCTGTCTGTCTGTCTGTCTGTTTGTCCAGCTGTCAGTCAGTCTGTCTGTCAGTTTGTCTTTTTGGTATTTCCTTCTCGTTTGCAATGAACACGCGTGGCTGTTATTAATTTATTAATATGTTAATTTATAGTCATCACTTGCTTCTTAACTTTTTAAAATGTTGTTTCCTTTTGCTGTTGCTATTGTTGTTAGAATCTATTGTTGTTTTCAAATAAGTACCACTTACTAATTTCATGTACAATGTGATTTCATTTTTCTCTTCGTTTCACTCCTCCCGCCTTAT